TTAAGATAAAAATTAAAAATGTCACGTAAAATAAAGTAAAGAGATAAAACCAGCCAGGAAGATAAATGGTTGAAAGTATGTTTTAGCCGGAAGGGATGTCAGAGACTATCTCGACGGAAATCATCCTCTTCAACTCCATTTAAATTTCAGGTAAACGCCCCCGCTTCAGCCATTTCTGCTCCAACTCTTACCATATTCAATTTCCGATCAAGATCAACGCCATGTCCACTGTTCTTTCCACTAAGTTCACACCCATCTCGCTGCGGACTCAGTTCAGCAGAAACTCGAGGACTCGCTTCTGCAATACACCCTTCCCGCCCTCCGTCTACAGCAACCGCTCTTTTACCGCCAAAATCCGTGCTTCTTCCACCGCATTCGTCGAGCCTAAGCCTGCGGTATGAATCCCATAATAAATGAGATAACTTGATCATCAATAATTTTTTTCCTCTCTTTTGTAATGTGTGCATATCTTCAGAATCCTGTCGTGGTTGAGAAGGAGGCCGGTGCCGGCAATAACAATTTAGCCTGTCCCGTATGTTTCAACCAATTGACTTGGAACGGCGACTCAATTCTATCCATGTGAGTTTAGAACGTGCCCATTTGCCTTTTATTCTCAATTCTTGATTGTGAATTGTGTTTTGAACAGTTTGAAGTTGGTATGGTGCAGAGGATCTACAGCTGGGTCTAGTTTGCAGTGTAACACTTGCAAGAAGACTTATTCTGGTAATGAAACGCATATTGACCTTACAGCAGCTAGTGGGTCTAAACAATATGGTCAATATGTTTCTCCCATTACGGAGCTTTTCAGGTGGAGTTTAATTCTTCTTTACAATTTTGATGACTTTGGTTAACATTTGGGAACTTCTGTAGTATGAAGTGTGTCTAAGGCCTGATTTGGAACAATTTCATCAAAGAATCATATGAAGTGTTGACCTTCTATATATTTGCTTTTTTTTTCTCTTCCAATTCTGCCAAATTGTGATGAGTTGCCGGAGGTTAGCTATGTAATTGTCCCTATGAAATCAAGGGGTTGTTTTCTTTCTATCTGAATTGTTGAGACTGTGAGAGTTGAGAGTCCATCTTGAGAAAGATTTGCACCTTCCCTGGTTGATGTTGTGTTTCTTTTGCATCTAGAAGCTAATGCATCGTGATTCTTGAACATTCTATTGTTACAATTTGTTCTTTACTACAATAAAATCTAATCTTACGTAAGAATTGATCTTTGTTTCTTTTTATCAGGCTTCCATTGATACCATTCCTCTATGAGAGGGGTTGGCGTCAGAGTTTTTTATGGCTTGGCTTTCCAGGTCCAGAGAAAGAGGTAAAAAGACAGGTTCTCGGATATCCATTTTACATTTCTACATTACTGGTCTGTTGCTGAGTTTTAATTATTGATGATTGATTTTCGAAGCACTATAGCTCATAAAATCCTTATCTTTGCATCCTTTTTAGTTTGTTGAATCTCATTGGTCGGCTGATGGAAGTTAGTCATTCGTCTGCATCACATATATTAATGAACTACTCAACTGTGTGCTTTTAGAAATGGAACTCCCATTGATAATGAATTTGTGATCTGAACTGTATACCCCTTGTTTGAGTACTGCCTGATAAATGATAGGATCATAGGATGATGTATATCTGTACCAGATGCTATAAATACACTTTAGTGCATTTTTTCATAATATTTACCTCTTAGATAATTTGAACTTACAAGCATTAGATTCCTCGTGGAGTAACCCTCTTGCTTCATTTTATTATGGTTTCACATTTCTCCTTTAATGGTGGAGCGAGTGAGAGTTAAATAATTTTTATTGCAGTTTGAAATGATGAAGGATTACCTAAAGCCAGTTTTAGGTGGAAATATCATTGACGCTAGTTGTGGTAGTGGGTTGTTTTCAAGACTTTTTGCCAAGAGTGGACTATTTTCGCATGTTGTTGCTCTGGATTACTCAGAGAACATGCTACAGCAGTGCTATGAATTTGTTGATAAGGAAGAGAACTTTCCCAAAGAGTACAGAAATCATCAAGCTTTAACTTAAAATCTTCATGTTTTTGTATTTGACTCTTCATTTTGTAATCTGGATATAATATATGATGGAGTTTATTTTATTCAATTTGTTTTGAAGGAAAGTTACCTTGATCAGAGCTGATATCTCTAGGCTTCCTTTTGTTTCAAGTTCAATTGATGCTGTGCATGCAGGGGCAGCTATTCACTGTTGGCCTTCACCATCAACAGCTGTAAGCATTTATTTTATGTTAGTTTTGGAACTAGTAATTTGACTTGCATAGTTCAACCTAACCGTTGGCAGACAGAGAGTTTGGTAACTATAGTTTTTCAGGGCACTTAGGCTTGTGTTAGGGTGATCCTTGAAAGAGAAGACCTTAATACTCATATCTTGAAGTATCATGAACTCTGAGGGCACATGCTCTGTGTCTTTCACTCTAATGGTTGAACTAGTTATGTGTAGGAAACTGTTTTGTCAAAATTACTTGTAATGGTCATAAAAGTAGGTCCAAAGTCCCAATAGAGTTTGATATGTTTTGAAGTTGTTGCCTTCCATGTGTTTTTCTCCTCAAATACCAGATAAACAATTTACAACAACAGACATGCTTACAGGAAAAAAATTGTTACAGAAGTTGAATAATATTATATCCTTTTCCCAGAAGTCTTTTTTTGTACACAATTGTATTGAGAAGAATAACTGAGGAAAAGGAGAACTTGGAGTTAGTTAGAAGTTTTTCCTGATAAAGCATTTGTATGACTGAATCTTGAAGAACTTAATTTGAGATGTTTTTCCTGATTTACATCAGATAGTTGTTTCAGTTGGTGATAATGAAGTTTTGGAGGAATAAAAAGAAGGAAAGCATTATATTCTATGTTAAAACTGGATTGTAGCCAGAAGAAGGCAACTTCTGGAGGATATTTTATATATATATATATATATATATAGTTAAGGGTAGTGTTAAATATGGTGCCACTTTTTTATTCCTTACATTTCTAGTTTTAGTTTTCTCAAGTGACTAAAAATGCTAGAAATGCATGATGTATCTGTTATACCCTTCCTAGTAACCTTCTTTTTGTTATTCATTGATTTGGTACCCCATTCTTCTGTAGGTAGCTGAAATAAGTCGTGTTCTCCAACCTGGAGGAGTTCTTGTTGCTACAACCTATATACTTGATGGACCTTATGCGTTTTTGCCACATTTAAGGATCTTTCGGGAGGTATGCTGTTTTCAGCTTTGAACTTGCATGATTATAGTTCAAGAATTATATTCAAAATGCTAGGCTTAAAAACTGGTTGGTACCATTGGAGGTTTAATAACAGAATCAGTTCCATGCCAATCTCCCCTCATAATGATCTTCTGTTTTTGGGCCATCACCAAGCATGCCCGATTAATCTGTGTGCCATGCAGTGCTCTTCAGTCTGTTATCCAAGAAGCCTCATTTCAACTTTATACATTTTTCTTCCCCTCCTTAATGGCTGATGATGAAAAACTTGCTTTGTCTCATGTAGAATATGACGTTAATCTCAGGCAACCACACCTTCCTGTCCGAACATGAACTTGAAGAAATCTGCAGAACATGTGGACTAGTTGATTTTACCTGTTCGAGGAATCGACGCTTTGTGATGTTCTCAGCCAGAAAACCCAATTAAACATTCCTTATATCACTCCTCAAAAGTCATCAAAATCTTGGCTTGGAAAGCCAGATACATTCTAATAAGTTTTCTTTTTAAGTTCAGTCATGAGATGACTATGGATGTCAAACTGAGACATCAAATAAAATTTCAAGCTTTTAGCTGCTTTCACCATATACTCCCTCTATGTTTTTTGATTTCCCCAAGACATCTGGATCTTGGGCTGGAGGGGAAATGTTTGTCTAACTAAACCTTGACCCATGTTTGAACTATTGGACCTGAGGTTTTGGGCTCAATGAAATTCTGTTCAACGTGAAGATCATGGAAATGGGAGAAAATTAGGAAAAGCACAAAGCTACAACGGAAAAGGACTGGTGGCAGAGATGCATGATCTCTTCGGGGACTATATAGAAGGTGCGGGAGGCAGGGTCAGAGGCAGAAGCAGAGGCAGAGGCAGAGGCAGCACCGGCCCACTGTCAGTGGATCCCACCATGCGCCAACATCAGGCTTCAGCAGCCCAGCAATCTGCCAATCGCTTCTTCCTAACGCACCCACCATCGACGTATGTAGTCGGCTACTTTTCCACGCGTGTCATCTCGTGTCACACGCAACCATGAACATGAACAATGGCGGGCCCTCACCACTGTTCCATCCTTAAAAAAAGATACCATTAAACAATCTTCCATGAATATTAAAACGAAAAAGTGTTTTTTTAGCTTAAATTATATTTAATTATAGAATATTATTTATTATATTAAAATCTACACCTAAATATTTGTATTTTTTTTTATTTAATGAACTCTATTTTCTAGTTTAATATAATATAAATTATAAAATATGAGACTCCATACAAAAATTTATTGAAGTTGCCTAATTAGTAATCACTTATATTATTAAATTACTATTTTCGTCTATTACTTTTCTCATTTTATTTTTCTCATAGTAGGTGAATAAAATGGCAATTTAAGTGTGACCCAAAGAATTCTCTATCACAATAACCGGAGCCATTAAAATATCTAAAATGAGTAGACCTTTTTTTTTTTT